CTGGCCTGTCGGAACGCCTCTGAGTGGACTGATTTTGTGTGTGCGTGTGTGTGCCTGTGTTTTTCTCTTATTTATTTTTTAACTCTCTCTTTCTCTTTCAACACCCTATTCCTCAACCCCAGTGTAGGGTAGCATACCACATACTAGCATCTGGTTAACCTCCCTGCCTTCCTTTTCTTTCTCGTTTCTCTCTCTCTTCTTTATTCATTACTATAATCTGCTATATTCGCAGGATTTAGTGAAAGCTGCCATACAGCGGTTAAAAACAAATCAGCCTACGTAACTTGAAGTACGACTGCCAATATGTGCAATAGCTTCAGATAATCATTACACTACAACTCGGAACCCTAAAGGTGATCTTGGGTTTGATGGCAATGAATTATGCCAATGTGACACAAACCGAAGACTTGAAGAATGAATACATGAGCATTACTTAGTGCACTATATTGTCGCGTTCCATTGCATCATCGCTGCACTTATAACTATAAGCAAGTGAGCTTGTACATATACTTTGTTTTTTGATTTACAAGCCAATGCAAGCTGCACTACTCTTATACCGACAGGCACCTTTTTTTTATCCTTACATCTTCATGAACCACAGGCGGTCAAAATGTATGAGAATGTAAATTCACCTAGCTGAGGAAGTGTGCGTGCTACAGATGTTTGCACAGATCAGTGATATCCAGTCTACCACAACAAGTAAACAAAACACGGCGCAATTAAACAAGGCCCGGAACATCGTCACTGCTGACGTAAATGCCGGCTTTTGAGCACACTAGCGGCACACACGTGATAACGAAGGAGAGATTGCGTTGGTTGAAAACAATGTATGGCGCTTCACATAAGTGCCAACGCTTTCTGAAGCCTCCTTGGTCATGTCGTGCTGTGAAATTAAAACGACAATAAATTGAGGCCCAGACTCTAGCATGAGTTCTAGAGACTAACAGTGCGTATGACTGATGAAAAGAAAAAAGGAGCGTGGATGCAGCAAACGTTCAATTTGAGTAAGTTGCACTAACAGACTGAAAAGCCACACTCTTCTAAATGCGAAGCATTTCTTAGCCAACGTCGGTGACCTAGAGCGTATCTATCTATCTATCTATCTATCTATCTATCTATCTATCTATCTATCTATCTATCTATCTATCTATCTATCTATCTATCTATCTATCTATCTGTCTGTCTGTCTGTCTGTCTGTCTGTCTGTCGTCTGTCTGTCTGTCTGTCTGTCTGTCACTCTGTTATTCCGTCAATCCGTCGGTCCGTCGGCCTGTCTGTCTGTCTGTCTAGCCACCTACGTCTTTTAGTTCTTCTGGCCGTTTCGATAGTGGTATTGATACCAAACTTGGTATGGCATACCATGACCTCATAAAGAACATATTTGACTAGTCATAACATGAACATCATGACACTGTGTCATGAATGTCATGATCTACATTTCATGGTCCTACAGCTCTTGCGGTGGTTTCGTTCACATGGCATGTCGCAAAACTGGTATGGTATGACAGGATCGCATGGCGAGCACAAGCAACAGTTCCTAAAACGAAAATCATGACATGCGTGTAATGTAACAACATGAGTACATGCCACGCTCATGATGCACACGCGGCCGTTTCGCTCACGTCACATATACCAAATTTGGTATCACAGTACGTGAATGGATGATGAAGGTGGTGAAAACATAATAGTCATGAGATGCGTGTCATGTAACAACATGAATACATGCCACGCTCATGAGGCGCTGGCGGCTGTTTCGCTAGCTTCACTTATACCAAACTTGGTACTACGGGACATGAATGGATGACGAAGGTATGATACTGGTGCTAACATGATAAACATGAGATGCGTGTCATGTAACATGACCACATGCTTCGCTCATGATGCGCTCGCGGCCATTTCGCTAGCTTCACATGTACGAAACACGGCATTATGCTACGCGAACAAACGCCATAGATAAATGACACATCCGAAATGATAAGCACGACATGCATGTCATGTAACAACTTGACCACATGCCACACTCATGATGCGCTCGTGGCCGTTTCGCTAGCTTCACACATACCAAATTTAGTATTACGGGACGCCAACGCATGGCGAAGGTATGTGTCTGGTGCAAACATAATAATCATGAGATGCGTGTCATGTGAAAACATGACTACGTGCCGCAGTCAAGGAGTCAATACGTTTCAACATGACACGGTACGCGTGCTCGCCGGTGTTCATTTCGTCGCGTCACGCCGGCGTTGCCACGCCAGGCGCCGGTCCAGCCATATACTCGCAAATGCGCGCCGCACTGCGTTGCTTTGACGAATGCCCGTTTCAGCGCGTCTGGCGTCTCTCCATCACGAAAGGAGAGAGACGCATTGTTGTCTGGGTTACGCATCGGCATAGAGTGATGTTTCTCTATGGCATCAGCGCTAAATGCAGCATGTCGCATTTCGCACCGGTGTTTGTCGGTACGTGCCGAAGGACGCTGGTCGCCCCTGGCATCTCGCTATAAGTGCTCGCGTTTTGCTAACGTAGTCTCGCTGGGCCCAGCGTGCATGCGTGCCAACGCTACGTTGGAGTATATTGGGCCCGTCATGATGCGCTCGCGGCCGTTTTGCTAGCTCCACATATACAAAATTTGGTGTTACGTGACATCCATGGATGGTGAAATGTATGACTGGTGCAAACATGATAATCCTGACACGCGTGTCATGTTAGAACATGACAACATACCACGCTCATAGCGTGCTCGCGGTCGTTTCGCTAGCTCCACATATACTAAATTTGGTATCACGTGACGTGAATAGATGAAGGTAAACGACACATCCAAACAAGATAATCATGATAAGGAAGTCATGTACAGCATCATTTACCACCACCTCGTAACGTTGTGCTCATTTTAGAATGACATCAACCCTTCTCGCACGTGCTTTGCATATCATCGATTCCCACTGTATGTGGGATCTGCCATTTTTTCGCTCTAGTACTTCTACACGGCGTGACAGGGTGTCGATATTATCGGGGTTTTCTCATGTGAGACGCAAGCTTTTGTTTAGAGTGTCTTCTGGTGAGTCGCTCTCACCATTCTCCGTTTCGCAGAGTGGTGGGGCTCTGCGTTTAGGCTTGCTAACATCTACAGAGGTCGAGAATGGAGCTGTAGGAGCTGTGAGAGTTTAAATTTGTTGTCTCGCTTCATTTAACTGCGTGGTGAGCTGTTGTATTGTTGCCAGAAGGCCTGCTAGTTCTTGTACTGTTGAAACTGTCTCGCTCTCCTGTTCTGGCAATGAGGCCCACGTTACCCGTTTGATTGGTGGCGTGCTCCGTTGCGGTTGTTGCTTCCCTTGGACTGGATCCGCCCATGTCAGCTCAGCCTGGTGATATGAGCAGTGTCTCCTGGAGCGCGAGTGGCTGCGCTGGGCGCTGCAACGTCTCGCTGCTAGTGTGAGGCAGCGGCTTCGCCTGGATGTCGTGGAGGTGTTCGAGGTGGCACTGGAGTCTCGGAAGCTGGCTCCACTTTGTCCTCGGGAGCGGCTATCACCGCATTTACGGCGGCGTCGTTGGTATACGATGTACAGAACTTGAAATTCACGTTTGCAGTCCTTGTCCGTGATGGGGTGCGGTCCACTGCAGAGGGTGCAGTGGGGCCTACATTGACGGTTCTCGGGTGTCATTTTGAGTCTGCACTTCCGGCACCACATTGTGTTAGGATTAGGGCAAACAACTGCACGGTGGCAGAGTCTGCCGCAGTTGTAACAAACTTCCGTGTGTCTGCAGAAAAGCACGCACCGAACGATGCAGCATACATACTTGGGAACTTGCATTCCTTGGAACAGGATGGTCACTGCTGTGGTGTTTCGGATGCGTTTCACTTCCAGGGCACTAGGGTTGCGCTTTGTGACGATCAGTTCTTGGAGCTGGGCATCGTTGAGGTCGATGCCTTAGATGACGCCTTTGCAGGTGTCATCAGGTGGAGCCAGATATACAGTAACTCGGTACAGGGCGTCTCGTAGACCGATTTGCTGTATCGTGGTATAGGTTCGTGCGTTTCGTTCGCTTGGAGTACGCACGACGAAAATGTTCTGGGTTACATTTGGGTATATAGAGTCTTCCATGAGGTCTTGAAGAGCGTTTAGAAAAGGCTCTGAAAGGCTGCTCTCCTAACTTTCGCTGTTACTGTGCTGCGTGTTCCGCAAAAGCCTGGTGTTTTGTTTTGCGTGCACCCCAAAACTGTACTAGCTATTGCATGGACAGGCAAACAAGAACTATTAAAGCTTCCTTTACCGGTGTTGTGCCTTCACTAAAATCCACTTAAGCCAGCACTGAAAGGCAGGAATGAAGGGCATATCAATATCAATAACTCATTAGTGAAACAAAAACTTTCCCCGCTTTATATATAGTGCATTTTTTATCCTCTGCTATGTTGTAGTATGAACTACTTTTCTATTTCAAGTTTTGGCTCAAGTAAATTGCAACAGTAATAAATTGCTGTTGATACCTGACAGACTCCATTATTTTAGCACGTAAAATGAAAATGTTGGAATAAACAAGTTCAAAACAGCAAGACTGATACATGCATCTTCTACTCTGACAACTAAGCAGCAGGGTGCCCGAGGTTGAAAAAGTAAAAGCTCATAACAGTACTAGCACGTGGAAGATAACCTCCACAGCTTGCTGATAAGCACTGCACAGTAAACAATCGAAGCCAAGGCTCCTTGACAGTCATCTCAAAAGTGAGCAACATTTTTAGTTTCCTGACACAGTGAATGATAAAACAATAATGTGACCAGATTTCCGCCAACAAAGAATTAAAAAAAAGACCATGTATGGCCCAAAAATAAACCACATTTGGGCTGTTGTTGAAACTAAAATGAAAATATCTGCCATTCAACCTCTCGTCAAGGTCTGCACGATAATGTTCTGAATACTCCCCAGATAAAACCAAAAGGCAGTCTGCTACTTACTGTCCAGAAGAAAGCAAAAGCATGATAAGAAAAATTGCAGAATACGCTGGACAGCTTACACATGCCACATTTATTTTATTGCCTCATGCATTCTCAGTTGTCACAGTTTCGTCGTGTATAAGAAATCTAGCGTATATACAGATTAAAAATGCACAGACATGGTGGTGCCTGCACCAAATATGTTACATGTGCACATATGATGTGTGTACAATGAAGATAGCCTGGTCATTCGGAGACCAGGAGAGTCCGAGTAAGAGTTCATTGCAATATATCACAGCAATTTGTGCAGAGTCGAGACAGCGAAAAGTACCAGTTCGAGATGAAACGTCCGCAGTTATGTAGTACTCGAGTACATCTGCGTAGCACGGCGATTGTCTCCTGGAGTCAGGCAAGGTGAATATTTACATAAATGCATTTTAGCAAGTCAGTGACCTCGAGTGAGAGGACACTTGCACTTAACACATTATCGTCAAAGGCAACAATTTGCTACGGTCTTGCCCAACTGTAGAGTTCTTGGTGTGAGAGTGACGGTCTTCAGGTCTTTTTCATGTACGTTGTTAAGGCAGCAAGACAGCAGACCGTGCTCACGAGTGCAGTACTCGAAGATGTAGTCGAAGACCTGGTCAATGTTTTCGCCCGTTGCACTCGACGTCTCGAAGTAGGGAGCCTTCTCTGCCGTCCAGCCAGGATTTAAGCTCTTTGCGAATACTTCCGCTTCGGCAACAGAAACCTGCAAAGAGAAAGTTGCGGACCTGTGACCACGGTGGCATATATAGAACTGTTAAACAATAGAGTAAACAAGAATAGCAGCATTCATGGCTTCGATGTTGGCACCTTCACTCATGAGACATTTTGACTTATTTAATGGAGTCCCGCGATTCGTGCGTCTCACATTTGGTGCACAAAGAGATATGCATGATATAGTTGCATATTTTTCTCGAGACAACATGTGAAACAGGGGTACACTCCCTAACAAAGCAGTTTATGCCGCATGCTAAGAGCAGCTAACTTAGGGTTTGTCACAGTTGATGAAAATTAAATTCTCCGGTGTTATCAAATATAACGGCAATCTGATAATAAAGCATGCACCTATGATGTGTCCCAAACTAATATCTATTATCTGGTGGCTTCATCAAGGTGCGTTTTGATCCAAGAACATGGCCATTTTTCTATTACACCTCATGGGCGAGGAGTAGCCAGGATCGAACTCGTGATTACAAGTTAAGCAGCTGCAATACCGTGGAATACGCAAACTAATGCCAGGACCAGAAGAGGCACTAATGTGAAGCACGGCAATACTTGCATATGTTCTCCAATGTACCAAGGGTGTTTGCAGAAAGTAATTGACCCTGTTCTATTTATCCATGCACGACTCGCGCTTGTGAAACTACAGTAAGCAGGATTCGCTAGGCCTTGAGGCTGTCCGAGTTCAATTGTATGATAGTGAATCAAGTTAAATAAAGCCTGCTTAACTAAACAAGGATACATTGAATGAAAGTCTCAGCAGAGACAAATACTATGAATGCCCTGCTTGAGTCATTAAATTCAACTCTGCTTGGAGCACACAAGCCTGCAGTACTGTCAAATTAAGATAGCTTTATAAAGAATTCTGGGCTTTTATGGGCCCGAACCAAGATATAATGAGGCACACAGTGGCAGACTTCGGGTTCGTTTCAACCTCTGCTTGCATTTCATGCACAAGCATGGCCAAGCATAAGCACTACTCGGCTCTACTTTCCAAAATAATTAACAAGTAAACGGGAAACGCAAACACCGAGGAAGAACAAGATGAGACAGGCTGGCACTGGCAACTGACCAGAGCACGCTTGATACGAAAACGTATGCCTGCCGATAGCAACATTGCCCATGCCTGAAGCAGACATGCGTCATAATCCACCATACCAACATGGCCAGGCGAAGAAATTGCCTCGCAAAGCTTCGCAGTACCACTAAGTTATCAGGCAGGTACAACTACTAGAAGGGTGAGGTGCGTTAGAATGTGCGTCAATATATGTTGCATGTACATCAATATACTATGCACAAAATATATGTCATCATCATCATCATCAGCCTGACTACGTCCACTGCAGGACAAAGGCCTCTCCCATGTTCCGCCAGTTAACCCGGTCCTGTGCTTGCTGCTTCCAATTTATACCCGCAAACTTCTTAATCTCATCTGCCCACCTAACCTTCTGTCTCCCCCTAACCCGCTTCCCTTCTCTGGGAATCCAGTCAGTTACCCTTAATGACCAGCGGTTATCCTGTCTACGCGCTACATGCCCTGCCCATGTCCATTTCTTCTTCTTGATTTCAGCTATGATATCCTTAACCCCCGTTTGTTCCCTAATCCACTCTGCTCTCTTCTTGTCTCTTAAGGTTACACCTACCATTTTTCTTTCCATTGCTCGCTGCGTCGTCCTCAATTTAAGCTGAACCCTCTTTGTAAGTCTCCAGGTTTCTGCTCCGCAGCTAAGTACCGGCAAGATACAGCTGTTATATACCTTCCCCTTGAGGGATAGTGGCAATCTACCTGTCATAATTTGAGAGTGCTTGCCGAATGTGCTCCACCCCATTCTTATTTTTCTAGTTACTTCAATCTCGTGGTTCGGCTCTGCGGTTATTACCTGCCCTAAGTAGACAGTCTTTTACAACTTCAAGTGCACTATTACCTATCTCGAAGCGCTGCTCTTTGCCGAGGTTGTTGTACATTACTTTAGTTTTCTCCAGATTAATTTTAAGACCCACTTTTCTGCTCTCCTTGTCTAACTCCGTAATCATGAGTTGCAATTCGTCCCCCGAGTTACTCAGCAATGCAATGTCATCGGCGAAGCGCAGGTTACTAAGGTATTCTCCATTGACTCTTATCCCTAACTGTTCCCATTCTAGGCTTCTGAAAACCTCCTGTAAGCACGCGGTAAACAGCATTGGGGAAATTGTGTCCCCCTGCCTTACACCCTTCTTGATTGGTATTCTGTTGCTTTCTCTATGAAGCACTATGGTAGCAGTTGATCCCCTGTAGATTTCTTCCAGAATGTTTATATATACTTCATCTACGCCCTGATTCCGCAGTGTTTGCATGACGGCTGATATTTCTACTGAATCAAACGCCTTCTCGTAATCTATGAAGGCTATGTATAGTGGTTGGTTATACTCTGAGCATTTCTCTATTACCTGATTGATAGTATGAATGTGGTCAATTGTTGAGTAGCCTGTTCGAAATCCTGCTTGTTCCTTTGGTTGATTGAATTCTAATGTTTTCTTTACTCTGTTAGCAATTACCTTTGTAAATAGCTTGTATACTACAGAGAGCAAGCTGATCGGCCTGTAATTCTTCAAGTCCTTGTCATCTCCTTTCTTATGTATTAAGATGATGTTAGCGTTCTTCCAAGACTCTGGTACTCTTCCCGCCTGGAGACACCTCGTAAACAGGGTGGCTAGTTTTTCTAACACAATCTGTCCTCCATCTTTCAGCAGATCTGATGTTACCCGATCCTCACCAGCAGCTTTGCCCCTTTGCATGCTCTCCAAAGCTTTTCTGACTTCTTCTATCATTACTGGTGGGGTGTAATCTGGGTTACTGCTAGTTCTTATAGTATTAAGGTCGTGGTTGTCTCGGCTACTGTACAGATCCCTGTAAAACTCCTCCGCTATCTTAACTATCCTATCCATATTGGTAGTTATTTTGCCTTCTTTGTCCCTTAGTGCATACATCCGACTTTTGCCTATCCCAAGTTTCCTCTTCAATGCTTTGACACTTCCTCCGTTTTTTAGAGCGTGTTCAATTCTCTCCATGTTATACCTTCTTACATCGCATACTTTACGTCTATTAATCAACTTCGAAAGCTCTGCCAGTTCTATTTTGTCTGTTGTACTTGACACTTTCATGATTTGACGCTTCTTAATTAGGTTCTTCGTTTCCTGTGAAAGCTTGCCAGTGTCCTGTCTAACTACCCTGCCTCCGACTTCCACTGCACACTCCATAATGATACTCGTCAGATTATCATTCATTGTATCTACGCTAAGGTTGGTTTCCTCACTGAGAGCCGAGTACCTGTTCTGCAGTGACACTCTGAATTCCTGTACTTTCCCTCTCAGTGCTAGCTGATTGATTGGCTTCTTGCGTATCAAGTTCTGTCGTTCCTTCTTCAAGTCTAGGCGAATTCGAGACCGTACCATTCTATGGTCACTGCATCGTACCTTGCCAATCACTTCCACATCCTGCACGATTCCAGGGTGTGCACTCATTATAAAGTCTATTTCGTTCTTATTTTCGCCATTAGGGCTCCTCCATGTCCACTTGCGGTTTTCTCGTTTTCAGTAGAAGGTATTCAAAATCCGTAAATTATTGCGCTCTGCGAATTCTCCTAGTAGCTCTCCTCTGGCGTTTCTAGTGCCGATGCCATAATCTCCTACTGCCTGGTCTCCAGCCTGCTTCTTCCCTACCTTTGCATTAAAGTCGCCCATCACTATAGTATACTGTGTTTTTACCTTACTCATTGCCGATTCCACGTCTTCATAGAAGCTTTCAACTGAAGCGTCATCATGGCTGGATGTAGGCGCGTAAGCCTGTACTACCTTCATCTTGTATCTTTTATTCAGTTTAATTACGATACCTACCACCCTTTCATTAATGCTATAGTATTCCGCTATGTTGCCAGCTATGTTTCTGTGAATGAGGAACCCCACTCCCAGTTCTCTTCTGTCTGCCAAGCCCCTGTAGCAAAGGACGTGCCCATTCTGTAGCACCGTATAGGCCTCATCTGTCCTCCTAACCTCACTGAGCCCTATTATATCCCATTTAACACCCTCTAGCTCCTCGAATAGTACAGCTAGACTTCCCTCACTAGATAAGGTTCTAGCGTTAAACGTTGCCAAGTTCAGGTTCCAATGGCGGCCTGTCCGGATCCAGAGATTCTTAGCACCCTCTGCTGCGTTGCAGATCTGACCGCCGCCGTGGTCAGTTGCTTCGCAGCTGCTGGGGACTGAGGGCCGTGAGTTATTTGACGTAATCATGTGGGAGGTAGTGGCCAGATACTGCACCAGGGTGGCCAATCCTTCTCTGGTGAGGGAGTGCGTTCTCGGCGGTGTTTGCCGGTGAGGCCGCACCCCAGGCCTCTTAATGCAGTTCCATCAACACGCGGATTTTTTTTTTTTTTTTAATCCGGTTGGGAACTGCGCAGTACCGGGATTTGAACCACGGACCTCTTGCATGCGAGGCGGATGCTCTAACCACTACGCCATCGCCGCACTCAACAAGTGTTTTTTGCCCTTGCCTTAAGGGAAGTAAAGTGCCGATTTTGGTCAAAATATGCGATTTTCTGATTTATTTTTTTTCGTAATCTTCAGACATTCAACTTCCTTGTTCTAAAATATTACAGCGAAACGTGCGCTACAAATCCCGCAAATAGTGTTTTTGGCGAAGCTAGTCGCCGAAAAGTGCGAAAAAAAAGCCCCTGAAACGGTGTTGTTCACGCCGCACAAACGCGCCAAGTTGTTGACCGTGGGCCGCCATTTTGGTAGCTTTGGAAAGAGGAGAAAGCCGGCTTCCCGATGGTCGCGGTCTCGTATTTCGCCGAGTGAAAATAAAAGCGCGAGGAGCAAGTAAAAAAACGAAAACGAAGAACGGCAATTGGCTGCGCGGGTCACGTGGTAGCAGGCGCGACCTCTTACTGGTCAAAGCTGCGCCTCGCACCTTGGCAACCTTGGAAGCGCGAGCGCATCTGCGGCCGC